ATGATGAAATGCCTTCTTATAATGAAATTATGCAACAAAACCTTAACTATGCTAAAGTTTGCACTAGTCAACAAAAGAAGCTTGAAAAATTAAAAGAAAAGCTAGATAGTTCACAAGAAGCATATAAAACATTGCATGAACAATATGAGACATTTGCTAATCTTAATATTGAACTATCTACTAAAATTGAGCAACTTGAGGCTAGTGCAACAACAAATACATGCACAATCAATGATGAGCAAATTATAAAGAAAAATGAAAAATTAAAAGAAAAGTTAGCTAGCTCACAAGATGCTTATAAAAAGTTTGCTTGCTAAAATAGAAACCATGTGCAAACATTGCGATGAGCTAACTAATAAAGTTGCTAATCTTGAAGCCATCGGTACAACCCTCACTAAGGCACCTAAAAAGAAAAATTCTATCTTTAACATGTCTAAAAAGGATGCCTCTAATTCTTGTAATGATTTATGTTTAGACTCACCCTTGTGCAACCAAGTTTGTGTTGAGAAAGTTGTTGTAGATACATGCACACAAGAGGTTGCAAAGGAGAATGAGCAACTCAAGCAAGAAGTGGCTCGCCTCACCAAGGACTTGACTCAAGTGAAAGGCAAGGCGAAGCAAGCCCAACTTCATCAAGATAACATCGTCAAAGAAGTGAAGAAGCTTGATGAAGGACAAACCATGGTTTGCTACGTATGCCACAAGGAAGGCCACAAGTCCTATGAGTGCAAGGTAAAGAATGGGGGTGGAGCGAAGAAGAAAGAGAAAAAGCAAACAAGCAAGCTCTCCAACACCTACACCAACAAGGTGGACAAGAAAGCCTCCACACCATACTTGTTAAAGAAGAAGAAAAATGACAAGGTGGTGGCCATCAAGGTGAACAGGCATGCTAACAATGGGGTCAAACACTTTTGGGTGCCAAAGGAGATCATTTCCAACATGAAGAGCATCAAGAAGGTTTGGATCCCGAAAGGGAAGTGAGAAGTCCAATGGACTCGGGAGAATTTAGAGACTTGGCAAAGTATGGGTGCATTTCATGGGGTGCATCACTATGGACAAGGTCATTGCCAAGTGGGTTAGTGAATACTATGAACCCAAATTTCCCTTCCCATGCTAGGTAACTAGATTTAAGTTCCTACAAGTGGTATCTTTAAGCATCTAGTTCATTTTCATGCCTAGGTTTACATTTGCATGTTTAATCTTTTGCCATGCATACACTAGGTAAATCATATGGTAGGCTTGCTCGGTTTCATTCTTAACCCTTGAAGCAAACCTACATGGTTTAAATCGTTTAGGAGCACGGCACATAGCTTGTTTTACAATTGTTCATCTAATATGTGCCAAAGTCCAAATTGTAGACAATTTCTCCCGAATATCACCTTCGAAAATGATTCTCACATTCATATGATGTCATCTTTCAAGTGATATTTTTTATTCTAAAATCAATGTGCATGTCTCCTACAAGTATTCCATACTTGTGTGCACAAATTTAGGGGGAGGTTACTCTACAAGTTGGATACTTTGAGACTAACACCTTTTCAAGCTTATCACGTGTGTAGTAGTCTCATTGCAAGGAAAATAGAGTCCCCGGAGTTAAGCATCATACTTCAAATATCCACCACTTATTGCAAGTGGTAGAAATCAAATTAGTTTCCACATGTGGTATTACTAAACCGATATCATCATGTTGATTTCACTTTGGTATTTATATGTTTTCTCCATGCATTATATAGATTAAACTCCTTTGAGCATTAATTTGCCAGTTATGCATAAACTACATCCTCCATCATATGTATGCATATATTTAGGGGAGCTTAGTCTATGTAATGTGAGAGTCAAATTTTATGACCTATTCCACTCCACATACAAAGGATCACAAAGTTTGACCCTCCCTTGTGCTACTAATATCTTCCTTTTTGGTGTTTGATTCCAAAGGGGGAGAATTTTGAGGACCAAAAGCAAGCACTAATTTGTAGGACCAAAAGCAAGATCATAATAATTTACAAATGGTAATGGTCTATAAGTTGTAATGGTCCGAGAAAGGGAGGATAGTGGATTATGGATTAGTCTATGGGGAGAATCTGTAGGATCAAAAGCAAGGCTTAAATCCATAATGCCACATGGGGACATTTGTAAGGGCAAGATAACTTTCCAAGTATCTTTTAGTCTTACAAGTGGTATCTTTTTAGCATCATATAACCTTACCTTTTGCATTGCATCCTAGCAAGTAGATAGTTTTTAAATTCCAAAATTTTATTATTTGCTTGCTTTGGTTGTGTTGTCATCAATCATAAAAAATGGGAGATTGTAAGGAAAATGGACCCTAGGCCCATTTACCTTGGATTTTGGTGTTTGATGACCAACACAACCAAATTGGACTAATGAATTTGCAAGTGATTGCTTTGTAATCCAACAGGGTACAAGACGTGACTTGGACGAAGGCGACGTGATGATTCGATGATCAACACCATAAGCAAGACCCTAGAAGCATAAAGAGAAGACCCAAGATATCAAGCAAAGTTCAAGCACGAAGATAGCAACCAAGCCGGATGCAAGATCGCGAAGAAATGAGCGCACAGAGGTGACCGAACGCTGGAAGGTGTTCGATCGGACGCTCTGATCAGTGACTCGGCTACAACAGGCGTCAGCAGCAGCGACCGGACGCTGAACAGTAAAGTGACCAGACACACCGATGGTACTATTCATCATCACCGGCAACACATCTAGTACTGACTGGACGATGTTGGCAAATCGACCGGACACAAGAATACAGCGTCCGATCGAGTACAGAAAGGTTCCAGAGCGGCGAAATTATGACCGGACGCGTCCGGCGGCATGTGACCGGATGCTGGCAGTGTCCGATCAGTTGATCGTGGCTCTAACGGTCAGGACGACCAGACGTGTTCGATTAGGACGACCTGCGCGTCCGGTCAGTAGCAGAAAAGCGGGATTTCATCCCCAACGGCTACCTTCTTAGTGGAGCTTATAAATAGACCCCCAACCGGCCATTTGTTGGGTGTGGAACAGAGGAAACATATCTAGGGTGTTGAGACACCATTTTAGTGATCTCCACATGCATAATGCTTAGTGATTTATTAGGTGATTAGCGTAGGTGCTTTGCGAAGTGCTTAGGTTGATTAAGACCACTGCTTATGCGCTTGCTCTAGGTTTAGTCCTAGTGTTTAGTGAGGTTTGCATACCTCTTACCACTCGGTGCTTGCGCGCACCATTGTTGTACATTGGAGGGGCCTGTAGTCTTGCGAGGTCACACCAACCGCGTTTGTGGTGTGGCCGCCACCGTGTACCGGAGGGAACAAGTCCCGCAGCGTTTCGGCCAGAAGCTTGATAGTGAAGACGGTGGGGAGCATCCGGGAGAGGCTTGCTGGAAGGCACGTCGGAGACCCACTTGCGCGTGGGGAAGAGCCGAAGCTATCCATAGAGTTATCTAGTCAGAAGCTTGGCCCTTTGCGAGGGATTCCTTGCGAGGGGCTCCAACGAGGATTAGGGGGAAGCTTGCGCGCTTCTCGATACCTCGGTAAAAATACTGGAGTCATCGATGGGAGTTTGCATCTCTACTTTGCTCTTTAGCTTCCGCATTTACATTGTTTACATTACTCCTTTTGCAGTAGAGATAGCAACACACTAGCAAAACCGTAGTTGCACATTAATATAGTTTATCTTTTGCATAGGTTTTGCTAAGTGTAGAAAAAGAGGCCATAGTTTAGAAGTAGAATTTTAAGTTGCCTAATTCACCCCCCCTCTTAGGCATCACGGTCCCCTTCAGCCCCACTGAGGTTCCTAGCCCTAGTCTAATCTAGAAGGGCGCACTGTAAGCGATGGGAAGCGCCATTGCCTTTGCCGCCGCCACTGGATCGCGCCTCCATGTTGCTGCTACCTCATCGGCGGTGCCATGGCCGCGACTGCTTCTCGATGAGGTACTTAACAAGGTATTGTCTAAGTCAAGTTTTACCTATTGATCTACGCCTAGATGATCCCATAAATCCTATCACCAGGCCCCTGAACTACGAACTCCACTGCCAAAGGGTCCATGAACTGCTGCTCCATCACTAGCCTACTGTCCCTGCCGTGGACCTGCCTGATGGAGATTCGAGCGGCGTTGTTCCCACTCGTATGCTGAGTGCTCCAGGGCATCGTGCTCCTATCCAGACCACGATGGCGAGCGGAGCATCATGCACCCATGGCCCATGGGCTCTAGCTCCCCCATCACCGCCTGAAGGTATGTCCATGGCGAGCATGTACGCACACGAACAGACCGCTCCGAGGAGTAGCCCAGAAAGAGCTAGCGGACCCTGGAGGACTTCTACTGCTCCTCACGGGGCCTCGGGCCCCTGTTGTTGTCGTCGTGGTCATCCCTACATACAAAGGTTGACACGCTTGCCCTGGGCTAGCCTCCCATCCAAGACGTCGCGTGTCTAGTATAATGGAACAAAACGCGGCCCCGAGCTGCCGTGGTCAGAAGAAGTGCTGGAGCCAAAGTCTAGAGAGGATGGGTTCTAGTCCTCATAGCCCATAAGGTGTACTAGGATGAGCCTGTCGCCCTCCAGCCCAATCGGTGGTGTGGCCGGGAGTCGAGTCGGTGTAGCCCCAAGTCCATTGATCTGCATGGCCTGATCGGCCCTAGCGGCGAAGAAGGTGTACGAGATCGACGTCGGGAGCTCGTCGGGGTCCTCCATCTAGACCCAAGCGGTCAGGAGATCATACTCCTCCCTGGCCGCTGGCCCTCCATCGACCTTGGCGACCTTGTCGATGATGCAGGGGTCACTAAGGATGAGCTTCACCCCCTCCTCGTTCCATGCCTCCCTCGGCACGTTCTCCATGGTGACCTTCACATGGAACCACCAAGTGGTCTCCGTCGGCCCGCCAGCTGAGTGCCAATGGGTGATTGGGAAGGCAGTGCCCCGGATCTCCACAAACCCCTTGGTCATGGCGCGGTCACGCTCAGTAGGGGCCCCGAACATTGCCAGGAACTGACCAGGACCATGGCGAGACACCCTGATGTTGTGTCATGGGATGTGGAGCTGTCCCCAGAGGGCGTAGCTCACCTCCAGAGCGTTGGCGCGATAGCCCTCCTGCGGTGCAGAGACAATGACCGCAAGCATGTGCAGCCTGTTGGCCTCGCGCAATATGCCCTCCGTGGAGACGATGTTGACGTGGGTGCGAGCTGGGCACTGGAGCACCTATCCGGGGACGAACTCCATGGCTTTGGATGGTGACTGCGGCGAGGGGTGGATGAGCGGCGAGAACGTGATGCGGTTGTGGATGCTATTTGGGGGAAGGTGAGCCTTGATCAGAGTTTAGTCGAGATTGCCTTTCGGCGTGAGGGACATAATCTGGAGAAGTGGCCAACCCCTCGGCAGTCCAAGCAGCGAACTGGTTTGAAGCACTAGGCGAGGAGATGGTCTGAGGCAAGGCAGCGGTAGCAATGGCCGACGACCCTCTTCTTAAAGGCCTCCCGTGCTGCATCCCTCCCCCTCACCTATGAGTCGATGCCATCCCGGATTGGAAAGGCCTCCTGGCGCCCGCGGCGCTGTGTCTTCGCTGGTTGCCAAGTCGGTGAAACCTGCCCGCTCTGGAGCTCGCTCAGATGGTTATTAACTCGGGAGCACTCCCTAGCCTCCTAGAGCTTTGTAGGGTTGGAGTAATGGCCTGCTCGAAAATGGCCGGGCGGTGGCTTGGAGCTTCGCGTCGCCAAAGATGAGGATCCTTTGGCAGAGGTTTTCGTCAGATCCAGCCGTTGCCATACCTGCTTTCGTGCTTGAGGTGGAGGGGTAGGCTGGCGGTCAGGCAGGATCAGGACGGACTTGAGCTTGGCCGGTGGTGCCTTTTCGGTGGCCGCAGCTCGGATAGGTCCCGAAACGAATGGCGGGATAAACAAGGCTGCTGCCGCAGCAGTCGATGGCGCGTCCGACGAGGTGGCAGATCGCTCCAATGCGGTGTAGGCGTATACAGGGGAAGCATCAGAGGCCCGTCTAGCGCGTGCTCCCCCCGCAGACCCCAAGAGGGGAGGTGGGGTAACTCCAGATGGCCTTGGATGCTCTATGGTGTCGGATCTCACCGAATCAATGGTCGATGGCGCCGTCTTCGAGGCCAAGCTCACCGTGGCTGGGACGCGCTTGCTTCCCTTGACTAAGCGCCGGTTGTCCCCGCCACGTCAAAGGCACCCGGCCGGGTGGCATCAATGTCATCTTCATCCCAATCGACAAGCTCCACTTCAAAAGCTTCGTCCAAATTCTGCGAGGGTGGTGGGTCGGTGGGGGCGGAAGTAGTGGGGGCTGTCAGATCCTGTGGTGCAGCCCGGGGGGACGGGCTTGGGGTGCGGGGAGGTAGTGTGGGGGGGGGGGGACACAATACCGGGTTGTTCTTTTTATAATTACACCCAGCAAGGAAAAAAAAAGAGTGATTCTCTGTGTGGGCGAGTCGGGCTTTGTGACACAATACCGTGTTGTTAGAATTTTTTTTAATTAGCACCCAGTAAAAGGTCAAAAAAAAAACGTGATTCGTAATTTGTGCCGCCGTGTAATTAGTTTTTCTTTTACCAACCCAGGCTTTGTGCACGCTATTGAAACATTCAGTAGCTCAGAAGCAACTTTTTGGAATTTGCCCTTCAACTAAACACGGCGTCAGTAGCTCGTCATTTGGCAACAAAAGTCAGCTCCGCCGTAGTCCGTACCCGTACAGGATGTTGCATGCGGATAAGCTTGAGACCGTGTCACCAGCGCCATATTGTAGTTTTGTACTAGTTTCTTCTTTGAATTCATCTGCCTGTAGTACGTAATAAGTAGATCTTATGTACTACGAGTATTTCTTTTCAGAATCACCCGCTCAAAAAATAGCGCTTAAATTGGCACGCATATGGCAAATATTAATGATTCAAAAGGGATAGCGCGTGTTTAGTTCCAGGAAGTTGAAATTTTGGGCTACTGTAACATTTTCGTTTTTATTTGGCAATTAGTGTTCAAACATGGACTAATTAGGTTCAAAACGTTCGTCTCGTAATTTCCCACCAAACTGTGCAATTAGTTTTTTCTTTCATCTACATTTAATGCTCTATGCACGGACCGCAAATATTCGATGTGATAAATACTGTAGCGCTTTTTAGGATATTGAGGTGGAACTAAACACGCGCATACTCGACATGTCCAACCACCATCTTGCCGGAAGAACATGATAGAGGTAGGCTTATCTCTCAAGATTTAGAGCACTTATTAATGGTGTTCCATTCCGCAGATTGTTGTGGGCAGCGGCATATGACCGACCATCAATGCCGTCGTGCCTTCGTGACGGGGCAAATGGAGAGCAAGCAGAAAAGGGCCTTCCTCGAAACGTAACATCCAAGTCCTCATGAATCAGCAGCAGGCCGAGCGAGCGACAACTGAAAAACTAACTGTGCTGCAATAATTTTGTCTCATGTAGATGTAGCCTTTATTCAAACACACATCATTTCATCGGCTCAAAAGGATGAAAATGAACACTTTGCAAGTCTACACAAGCAGTCGCTAATTAGGATTTGAATTCGAAAATGTATGTTTTATTCGAAGATGCGTCTGGGAAAAATACATGCACATTTCTTCCTTTACGTAATAATAAATAAAAATATAATCCACCAACAATTTTTTTTTTGATCTTGAATCCACCTACAATTGGGACCAGTAACCTGTCCATTCCTGTGAAGATCACAAAAACTAAGGGTCTGTTTGTTCGTGCAGGACATCCTAAAATTCCTATCACATCGAATATTTGATGTATGTATAGAGTATTAAATATTAAATATAGATTAATTACGAAACTAATTGTACAACTTGCGACTAATTTGCGAGACGAATCTTTTAAGCCTAATTAGTCCATGATTTGACAATGAGGCGCTACAGTAAACATATGCTAATGACAAATTGATTAGGCTTAAAAAATTCGTCTCGCAAATTAACCTCCATCTATATAATTAGTTTTATAATTAATCTATATTTAATGCTTTTTATTAGTATCTCAACATTTTTTAGCAGCGCTTCAATAACCAAACACCACCGAGCATCGGTGGCGAGAGAATCCAGAACCGCCTTTTCTGGTTTCCGAAACCTCGCACGTGAACCCACTCGGCACTCTAGTCATCTCTCACGGAAGGAAGAAGGGTGCAGCGCCCAGTGCATGCCAGTGCAGTGACCTCCTAGGCCCACCTGCCACTGATTGTTCCTAACGATTTTCCATTAAAAACCGTTGGCGTGTACTACTCTCCCGGAGCTCCAAATGCAGAGCGAGCCGAGCCAACAAAAACGGCTTGCACAGTGTTGTCATCACTCAGCTTTACCCAGACTTGCCGTGAAATCCATCCCTTATTGGCACCTCAAAACGCCGCCCGGTCGACGCGACGCGTGGGGCGTGGTGGTGTGCGTTGCAAGCGAGCGTTCACCCCTCCCATTCCCATCTGTGATTCTGTGGGACTTGCCGACTGATGAGAAGCTCCGGGTAACAAAACAAAAGGTCAACATCTCTGTATTCTTCCCATCCAGCCAGAGCCAGTGATGCGCTGCCTGCTGCTGCTGCTGCTGATAAACAAGGGAAGTGCGTTAGCTGTGTGATTAGAAAAAGGGGGCGCCTCTACCAATCTCTAAACAGGAGGGAGAGGGAGTGACCTTGCTTGGACGACGACCGGGTCTGCGAGCTGCCAGCGCGGTCTCCCACCACCCCTCGCTCTCCGGTCTCCATACCTTCTACCTCGGGTGTTGCGTTGCGTGCGGCGCTGTGCTTGGGCCGGCGGACGTGGGCGCCATGCCTGGGTGACTGGGTCTGGGTGTGGCTGGGAGCTGAGGAAGACGACGGGGGAAGGCCGGGGAGAAGGAGAATGCTCCCCGGGTGCTAGCGTCGCCGCCGCTGGTCAGGGGAGGAGGGAGGAGCAGAGGCCGCTCAGTTTCTTCAATTTCTTGGTTGGATGCAGGTATGTTCCGCTGCTGCCTACTTGATTGCTTATTCGGATGCAGTTCCTTGTGATTTCAGTGGTTTAGGCGGGGCTCTGTCGGAAATTACCTGAGTTTTGGGGACAAAGATTGCTGTTCTTGTTTTCCTCTCCTATAATTAATTACTGTGCTTTGGTGTACCTTGCGACGACAAATCAGGACATCTTCCTCTTACGTCAATTGAGAAAAGTTAGGACGGTCTCAATGGGTTTCGAAGGTGTTGGGGCCAGATGAGCCTGTGCCCGCCCCCCTCCCCCTCAATCGTGCGTAGGTGTTCTTCATGTTCCTTCCAGGACCATGAGAACGGCAAAGTCTGGTTCAGCAGACAGCAGCTAACGTACAAAGACAAACTGCTCTGCCATAGTTCCTGCCGTGAATAGCATTATGTTGGTTCTTGCAAGAAACCAATCTGGGAATTTGGGGGGAAAGTGGCCACCCCTGCAGTATTATTATATACACTATCCACCAATTGTTTAGAATCAATCCCTGTCACCTTAAGATTGCAGAATTGTACTTTTGTATCGAACAAAGTTGGTAGGTTTCTTCTTTACGACTTCCTAGTCTTTTTTCGTGTTCACGCGTATTTCATTGAGGAGAACGACTTCCTCGTCTGAACTCTGAACTACCCTTTTCCACACCAAAAGGAAAAAAAAAAGCATCTTTGGTGCCTAACGTCCACACTTTCCCTTTGTTTCAGCGAAGTGAAGCGCAGGCCAGGAAGGCATCGCTCGCCGAGTCTGTGCTAGCAGCCATCTCCGAGCTCATGTCGTCAGCGGCATCAGCCGTCGATGCTGAGCACGAGAACTTCTTGGATGTTGGCAGCCACCTCCACCATGGAGCCCTGCCCGCAACGGAGGTGCAGAAGCAGGCGCAGGGTTCCCCAACCAACACGCTGCATGTAATGGAGTATCTGGCTGCCAATGTTGACCTCGCCAAGGACCTCATCACGAGGTGCAGCGCGATCGCGCAGCAGCTCATGGACGACGACCTCCTGGGCATAACCGAGGACCTGGACAAGGTCATAACGAATATAAGCAGTGAGCTCAACAATATACAAGCATCGACGTTCGAGAGCAGCAGGTTTGCAGAACCAGCGGTCAGTGGGCACCTTCAGGTTGTCAGGAACCGGCATGGCTACTCGGAGGGAGATGTGCCAATGGCTGTGGCAGTTGAGAGGCCTAGGAGAAGAACACTGCACAACAGTGACATGCCGAGGCTGGTGGACTTCCTGCAGGGAATGTACCAGGAGTCACATGAGCTTGGTGGTCAGACATTCAGTTCACTCCCTGAAGTCGCGGAATATGTGGAACCATTGTATGATTCCTTCTTCTGTCCTCTCACAAACAAGGTTATGGTTGATCCAGTGACAGCGGAGAGTGGTGTGACTTATGACAGGAAAGCTATAGAGGATTACTTTGACAAGTTTACAGATGGCTCTGAACCTGTGATATGTCCTGTTACAAAGATGGCAATGCAGAGCAAGACACTGAGGAGTAATCTTCCGCTGAAGAGCACAATTGCAGAATGGGTTACAAGGAATGAAGCGACGCGGGTCAGGATCGCACGTACCGCACTCTCTATGGCAAACACGGAGGCTATGGTGCTTGAGGCGATACATGAGCTGAAGGTGCTGGCTAGGCTGAGGAGAAAGAACAGGGATCAGATGCACAAGATTGGCATCACCAAGTTCCTACCACGTCTTCTGGGCCACAAGGATGCATTTATTCGGTGTGACTCCCTCGACCTTCTCTGCCTGTTGGTTGAGGATGATGCAGGAAAGGTGTGTCTGAGATATTTCAACCTGTCATCTTTGATCTTTTCCCCAATCTTTGCACATTATATTGCTACTGAAACAGTGCTGAAGTGCAGCATCAACTCCTAATCATCTTGCATTTAAATTTTTTTTTTCATGACATACAGGAAATCATAGCGAAAACCAGAGCCATCTCAAGGACAATAAAGCTGCTATCCAGCAGTAGTACTGATGAAAGGCATGCAGCTATATCTTTCTTGGTAGAGCTTTCGAAATCAGAGTTACTGTTGGAGAACATTGGATCAACTGCTGGGAGCATACTGATCCTCACCACGATGAAGTTTAATAGCTCCTCTGATCCTATTGCCGCCGAGAAGGCTGGAGAAGTCCTGGAGAACCTGGAGAAATGTCCAAAGAATATCAAGTACATGGCTGAAAGTGGCTACCTGGATCCTCTGCAAAGGCACCTAGTTGAAGGTAAGATTTGGCCTTTGTATAGAATAAAAAAACTTTCTTCTCTGTGTTAGGCTTACATAATGCCATTCTGTGCCTGCCTGTTAAAACTCTAAACCATAAATGAATAATTTAAACATAACTTACAAATCTCACCATGACACTACCTTGAGCTTACAATGACATGAACGCACAAACAGGATCAGAAGATGTTCAGATGGAGATGGTGAGCTACCTCGGCGAGCTGGTCCAGAAGCAGGAGATGACCATCAACATCGCTGGGAGCGCTTCAGAGATCCTCGTCAAGATGGTGTGCAGTGGCAATACAGCAATTCGAAAGGCGGCCCTCGACGTCCTGGTTCAAATCTCGTCCCACCACCCCAACGCCAAGACACTTGTGGACGCAGGTGCCGTCCCTGTCATGGTGCAGGAGCTCTTCATCCGAAAGATTGACGATGAGCCCATGGGCTCTAAGACAGAGGCTGCCGCTGTGCTCGCCAACATCGTCGAGTCTGGCTTGGATCCAGAGGCCATCACTGTCAATAAGGAAGGCCACGTCATCACGTCCAAGTACTCGGTATACAACTTCGCTCACATGCTCAAGTGCTCCATGCCTGACACCCTCAACCTAAGCATTGTGCGCGTGCTGCTCGCGCTAACCGCCCTCCCCAAGCCTCTTGCCACGGTGGTCTCGGTCATGAAGGAGCAGGACAGCTGCCAGACTGTGATTGAGCTCATGGGCTCGCTGACAGAGTCACTTGTCATCGCCGCAATGAAGCTGCTTATTGCCTTGTCCCCGAAGATGGGGCACACCATTGCCGAGAAGCTCTGCAAAGCCCCAGGGCAGCCAGGGAAGCTTGTCAAGTGCATCGGCCTGCATGGGCGGATCATGGAACGGCACGCCATGTCCGCTGCGCTCCTGGCAAAGCAGCCGTACCAGCACATGGCTCTGAACCTCGCGTTGATCAACGAGGGCGCCGTGGTGACCGTGCTAGCCAAGATCGAGGAGATGCAGCGCGGCGAGACACGGGCAAGCCGCCATGCCAAGGCGTATATGGAGGGCCTCGTGGGTGTGCTGGTCCGGCTAACGACGACGCTGTATGACCCAGACGTGCTCCTGGCGGCCATGGATCACAACCTCACATCGGTGCTCGCAGATCTCGTGCGGTCCGCGGGCAGCGACGAGGTTCAGCGGCTCGCCGCGGTGGGTCTCGAGAACCTGAGCAGCCAGTCGCCCAACCTCTCTCAGCCCCCGACCGAGGAGCGGCGCCCGAAAAAGAAGAACATCCTCCGGCGCCTGCGCGAGGCGCACGCGGGGCGGGTGCACGACAACAACCGGAGGCCACCGGCACACAGTGGCCGGGTCTGCCCGGTGCACCGCGGCGTGTGTTCCCCGTCCACCACGTTCTGTCTGGTGGAGGCCGGCGCCGTGGAAGGCCTCCTGTGCGTCCTGGAGAGCAGCGAGAACGGGCGCGTGGTAGAGGCCGCGCTCGGCGCGCTGTGCACGCTCATGGACGACGACGTGGACGTGACGAGCGGCGTGGCCGTGCTCGCGGAGCACGACGCGGCGCGGCACGTGCTTCGTGCGCTGCGGCAGCGCCGCGACGACGGGCGGAGAGGGGCCGGGGCCGGGGCCGGCGCTGGCGGAGGCGAGACGGTGACGCGGAGGTGTTTCTGGGCGGTGGAGAGGTTCCTGGCTCACGGCAGTGAGCGGTGCGTGAGGGAGGTCACCAGCGACCGGGCGCTGCCGAGCCTGCTGGTGAGCGCCTTCCACACGGGCGACGCCGCCACCAAGCAGGTGGCCGAGAGCCTGCTCCGGTGCCTGCACCGCATGCCGGATTACTCCGCGACCTACGAATCCGTTGAACTGTAACCATGTCTTGCCTCTTTTTCCATGTTTGCGTTTCTTGGTTGGTTTGTAATATGGGTTGATTGATGATGTATTGTTTGGTGTAGCTAAAGGAAATTAGGAAACGAAAAACTGAAGATGCAGTGTCATGTAATGTAAGTATAGCCAAAGATTATAGCAAGGGAAGATAGTCTTCTGGTTCTTCTTATTAGTACTTTGTGAGTGTGTTCAGTAGTTCTTTTTTTAGGGATCGTGTTCAGTTCAGTAGATTTTGACAAGGGTACCTCCTAAAATCATCCACCAGATGATTTGTTTCGTAATTTTGATGATTTGTTTTACATGCCTCTCTAGCCTTTTCTCCATAGGACTAGCAAATAGCTTTTTAAAAAAAAACGTGACCGGCAAAGTGCTGGGGAGAGTGCTAGCAAAAAAAAAATTTATTCGGTTTGCTATTGTCTTGACGTTCGGACGGACGAGGTGTCCGGATGCCAGTGACTGTAGTCTGTTTTTCGTGCCGTTTTTCACGCGTCCATGTGAGATCCGTGTCGCCCCGAACATCATCAGCGTCGAGAAGAGGGGGCGACGGATGCCCTGTCGGCGCCGGGAGGAGGAGGAGGGAGATGCAACATTCAATCTACTTTTCAAACATTCATAAACAGCACTTGCAACATATGTCTGAAGACAGATGAAACATTTGAAATATGCATTTAATACACTTGAAAAACACCTGAAAAACACTTTGAAAACCATTGTAAAACACATACGCAACATCGAGATAAAAACACTTACAACATATATGTGAAACATATTCAACATCCAAATAAACACACTTGCAACATAGGTCTAGAAAAACAGATGAAACATTGGGAACAAAAGCTTACAACATACGTATACAATCATTGCAATATATACAACATCCCGATATACTTTTGCAACATCCATATGAAACACTTGCAACGTACTTCTCAAATATTTGAAACATACATCTGAAACGTATTAAACATATGGAGCTCGATGACGGCGTGGAGCTCGATGCCACAGAGTGGCGCGAGATCGCAGGTGCGGAGCTCGTTGGTGGCACGGACCTCGGCAATGGCCTCAAATGACTGGATCCCGCTCATGGCGCCACGCTTCGCTAGGCCCTGCCAGCCACTGCACCTGGCACTCAGCTCCTAGGGTACACCGCTACATGTACTAGCCTCTAGCTAGGTCTGGGACGTGAGAATGGATGGGAAAGAAGAACACACAGGGAGTAGGGATGAAAATAGTATGAAAATATCCCATATCGAATTGCATCGTTTTCTACTCCTTCCGTCCCAAAATAAGTGCACTTCTAGAATCTAGGTGAAGAGATTAAGGTTAGTGAGAAATTACATATATGCCCCTATAAAGGTGTAATCATTACACCTTGGTAAGAGAGAAAGTAGAAAAAGACAAGTGAAGTTAGTTTGTCTTATATCTAGCGGTACACTTATTTTATGATAAATTTTAAACTATAGAAGTGCACTTATCATGAGACGGATGGAGTACATTTGATCCGATCGAATTCGTATTTTCGGACAAATTCGAATTCAGTTCAAAATAAGGAACACAAAATTCGAAATGGGAACAAAAACGGTTTAGATTTTTTTCTGACCGTTTTCTACTTTTCTGCTTTTAATTCAGAATATTCGAATTCAAAATTCGGTTTAAACCGAATTTGGCCTACTAGAAGTGCAGCCTTAGAATTTTTTTATCTTTTTCATACGATCTCGGATGAAGATGTTTTGTATATGAAAATTATAGCTCTCGACGAAATCTAAAACTTTCTAGTTTTTAGTTTTTTCATTTGAAATCTTTAAGATATTCAAAAAAATTAAACAAAATTTCAGTAGTATATTAATCGTATACAAACGCCTGTTACCATAGAAAAATCATATTTTTCTTAAATTGTGTCAAATAGAGATACTTTTTATGAATGTTGTAGGACTTATTAATTGTTATTCACTTGGTCATGCAGTTATTAATTGTTATGCACCTGGTCCTACAGGTCAATATTCCGTATTGATTTTTCGTATATCAACTGTGTTCGACATAATTCCGTTCGAATTACTTCGTTTTCAAAATTCTTAATATTCCATAAGTTCGTGTTTATTTTCATGCCAGGCTTTACTACTTTTTACTTTTGTTTTCGTATTCAAATGTAAAAGTAGAAAACGACCGTCTTTGTCAGAGTGCCGGGAGACAGCGTCAGCTGCTGGGCTGCGACGACAGATTGCGATTCTTAGGGCGCGTTTAGTTCGGCAAAGTTTGCATGCACGATTCTCCACTGTAGTATTTCGTTTGTATTTATAAATTATTGTCCAAACATTGACTAATTAGGCTCAAAAGATTCGTCTCGTAAAGTTAAAGCAAACTGTGCAATTAGTTTTTTATTTCATCTACATTTAGTACTCCATGTATATACCACAAGTTTGATGTGACAGAGAATTTTTTTTTATAATGCACTTTTGGAGAACAAAAAGGGCTTAGGGCAGTGCGGGTGAGGGCGCACAGCGCGCTGCGGGCGGTGCGGACGGGCCAGGGTCCGCGTTGCCGTTTTTTTATTCTCTCGGAGTTGAGTTTTTTTTTTCGTGCGTTTTGCGCAATAGTTGATTGCCTGATTCCCTTTTTCTCTGGAACGGAACTCAACTTTCCTCCGTTGCAGATATGTTGACGTGATTTTTTCCTATCCAATTTATTCGTTCAAAATTCCTTCGTGAATCTTTGATAAAAAACGGGACCTGAATGGATTACTCTTCCCGTTCAGATGCGAAGCTAGACGACTTGTTGCTGACCTCAGCTAACTGAGGCCACCAAGAAATTGTTGCCAGAAAACGACACTAACCTCAGCGCAGGTGCAGGGGGCCAGGTGCTGCTGAAACTCAACGACAGCAAATACACAGCAGTAGTATACTACGTGTAGATGCAGGAAGAACGAGAGGGAGTTAACCTTATGTTTCTCCTCGGCAGCTCGAAGTGGCCACGTCACCCGGAAATCCCACAGCGATCCACGTCTCCTCAAAATGAATTTGCTTGGCCACGGTTCGGCCACGTCACCCACAAATCCACCTCCACGAAAATATCTCGCACCTCTCCACCTCCTCGCGGCCAAAAAAAAAAGTTGAGTCCGTCTACTACACAACCATGTGTTTTATGCAGTTTTAACACGTGATTTTTTGCACTATAGGATTAAGATCCAACAGCCTCCACGCTTCTTCTACCTCCAACCTCCACGGATCACAGATCATAATTTTTTTCTATGGAAGGACAAATCACAGATCCGCCGCCACCGCCACTGCCATGGCTGGCGCGGGCGCGGGCACGGGCACGGGCGTCGCCGTCACCGCCACCGCCACTGCCATGGCCGGCGCGGGCGCGGGCGCCGGGGCGAGCTCACCGATCATCGTCGCCGGCGCCGGTGGTCACAGGTGAGAAAGAGAGAGGGAGAGATATATAAAAAATCAATGTGTTTTTTTTTTGCTAAAACATGTGTGTTGTATAGCATTTCTGAAAAAAAAACGCTCCCGTCCTCGGTCTCTCACGAGGCGCGGCCACGCCTCCCGCGACGCCACCGCTCCCGCCACCGTCGCCCCCGCCGGCGCACCGGCCGCCCCCCTCCCCCTCCGTCCCCTGCGCGGGTGAGTCCTTGCAGTCTCTTCTCTCCCCCTCCCTCCGCGCGCATCTCTCTCTCCCTCTCCGTCTCCCGATGCGGTGCCGGAGCGGCCAGGCCCTGCGGTGGCCGCTGTTCGACGCTGCCGCGCGCTGCTGCGGCCGAGCGTCCGGTGGTGGGCGCACCTGCGGTGCAGCGGCCCCTATCCATTTCTCCCGCCGCGCACGCTGTCTCTCTCCGTCGCTCTCTCTTCGGACGCGGATCGAGCAGCATACCAGTGCGGGGAGGCCTCGATGCGGACAGATCTACTGCCATGCCAGCGAGGGGGAATTTCTGTGCGTAGGTGATTGAAAAGGTCTTTTCTCCTTAGTTTAGATCCATAAATATTATCTGAAAGCTACCATATTTATTCTTTTATTACAATCGAGGGATTTCATAGCATATTCACTATTTTCTTAGTCCAGGATTAGAAGTAATAAACCATATCAATTCACAAAAAAAAGATAAGACAGTGTGCATCCATAAATTAATATTTGTAAGCATGCAGAGCCAAGCTATTTGTACACATAATTCTTTTAGCTATTTTCACACAATACTTTTTTTTTTTCCACAGCATGCTGTTACATTTAAGTCTGGAAAAGTGTTGATATATTTTCAAGAACTTTCTCTAGAGTCAATTTGGCTGAGTATATTATCTTAGGTACTATTAGGTTGTGATAAAAAATGATATGCTTTTTGTGATTGCCTTTCATGTGATGCTAGCAAATTTAATTTAAGCAAATCAGTATTCATCTATTGCAGGGGTGCATGTGTGATAATTAATGCTAGAATGGTTCTTGTGCTCCTACCCTGTACCCCTGGAGGTAATGGCCCTCTTTCATAAGTCAGTTCTCTCCTATTGCAATAAACCTTTCTCCAATTAAAAAATGATGATAGGCTTCAGATCATGTATTTGTTTACTTTATGGAAACAGAAGAACAGAAACCTATAGAACTTATCAATTTGAACATGTTCATGCACAGTTGGTCCAATATACAGTTTGATTAGTAGCTGCTGCTTTTTATTTATTCTCTGTATATTCAGTTTGTTCCTTGGATTAGGATGTAGAGCATTGATAAGGTTTTGTTTGCCTTTTCAGGCCGGGCACTGTATCATTTGTAGATCCTTTTGCAGATTTCATATAAAGGTACCATTTTTCAGTTTACCATCCTTTCAGTTTTCTCAGCCTAAGTGAACCAAGCTTAGGTGCTATCATGAGCCACATAAGTGTAAATCTCTATGCTGTTTTTTAGATATAGTGCTAGGTAAGTTGCAGAGCCATCCCGTTAGATGATCAGTTGACCAATTATTATGCAGACTGCTATAAGCAAATTTCGTGCGATTATAATATTTC